TTCATTTTCGTTCGATTTCGCCCATACCCCCCCATCCAAAAAGTTCATCTTTTTCGTTTTTTTTTTTGTGTAAGGGGGTGCGGCCGGGGATGCGCCGCCACGTGGCGTCTCCCGATCTCCCAAAGATGCTCCCACGCGGCCGCCACGTGGCGTCAAAGCCGCGCATCCGCGGGGTCTGTGGACAGGCCGCGGCCGTGGATGGCCGTCGCCGAGGGGTATTCATTGACCACAAAGAGTACGAGTCAAATTGATCTTTCTGTTGGCGCCAAAACTGCCATTCATACTGGATGATCTGTTTGAATTGGTGATCGAGTAGAAGTAAGGTATTTAGGTTAAAAAAAACAGGTCCTTGATCTGGTCTTTTCCGCATGGTGAGTATTATCCTGCATGTTTTGTGGTTCAGACCGGGGTGTGGACTACGAGGGAGGATAGCAGCCCGTCGGAGGGCGCCTTCCAGGTCATTAGAGAGTAGTATGAGATCGATACATGACTTGGACAGCCTGGCCGGATCGCTGTCCCTTACACAGGATAAGGTCCGGTCCGCAGGGTGCAAATGGCGGAAGGTGCCGAAAACGGCGAGGCTATCGCATAGGTCTGCAATCATTTGCTCGTCTTCTTCTGCTGCGAAGGAGGGGGACCCCTGAGGGTTCCATCTATCATGTCCCCTCTCTGGAGCAGCATTAAAGTCCCCTGCAATAACCAAAGGGATGTCGTTCGGTACATGTGCCCCTAAGCTGCCTAAAAAAGTTCTTCTTTCCCCTACCGTATTAGGGAAGTAGATGCATAGGATACATAGCAATTCTAGTTCCAGCATCCCCAAAACTGACATCCACCGTCCTTCTTCCTCGTCCACTGCCCTATGGATTATCTCGAACCTGGAATCGGGGGGTACCCAGATCGCGACTCCCGCTGAGCCGGGTCTGGGGGCATAGGCTGATACTGTCGTGTAGGGCCAGACCATTTTGTGGGCTCTATTATGGGCTGGTTTATCCTGTAAGTGAGTCTCCTGCACACATATCACATCTGGCCATTGTCGGCCCCCCACCCCTCTTAGTTGATCCCAAATGGCCTGACATTTTTTTGGATTGTAGGTTGCCAGGCCATTCACTCTGATAAAGCGGAGATCAAGATCGGTCGTTCTCACGCATTGTTTCCAGGCTAGGTTTCTACAGTATAGTGTATCTAGGTCAGTCATTTGGGTGTTCATAAGGAGTGCCATTTCTTGGTGTCCCATGAATCTAGAAGCAGGACTTTTTTCAGCAGGATTCTACACAGGCATCTACACACATCATCTTCGGACCAGTATTCCCCAGGCTTAACTTTTGCACACTGTAGGTCGAGCAGCGCAGTGTGACTGAACCAGCGCAGATCGACTGTTTTGTTGGGTTCAAACAACAGGTATAGGTCGTTCTTCGCCATCTGCATGTCCCAATCCGCAAATCTTAAGCCTGCCCTTGCCCTGGGTGCATAGTGTCGGGGCACAAAGGCTAAAAAAAACTATGTTATCATTGTTATAAAGAAAAATAAACTGAACAACTTTTGCCTCACAGTCACATCGAAATTCTGACCAAATTTAAAATAATAATTTTTGTTTTTACTTATTTTTTGCCAGGGCCGGGCAAGTGGTCCCGGACCATTCTGGTAGTCTAGTTCAGACCCTTATTATTTACTGCTTCAACTTGATTATGTAATGATCCCAGTCTGGAGGAACACTCATAAAATGTCGAAGTACAGGATAACTCAGTGTTGAATAATGTCTCCAATCATCATAAATGTGATTTGTGATACAACGTTTCGTAACAAATAGACAAAGAGGGGAGAGGGAGAATAGGCGATTTAGAGGGTGAAAAAGTAAGTATCAATCAATAGCCACAACGATAGTAGCCCACGTTTCCCTTTCCTTCGGCGGGCTTCCTCTCGCCTCCACATCAACAAACAGTGTTCAAGAACGAGCCTCACAAGGCCAGATCACATCAAAGTGGCACGTGCCACAGCTCCCCCGTGAAGATGTACATCAGCACACAGTATCGACATCAGCAGCAGGTAAGTATCCTCTCTCTCAATCAATCCACAGATCCCAATCTCCCTTCTTGTCGCGTCCAACTCAGCAATGTAGAAAGTGTGGAAAATGTCACGCCAGCAATATCGAAGACAGTGTGGCATGCGCCACGTCAGCAATGAAGACAGTGTGGCATGCACCATGTCAGCAAGTCGAAAGTGTGGCATGCGCCACGTCACCAAGCCAAAGGCGCCCGAGCAAGGAGGCGCCAGCACGCATGCAACAGTCCCGCGTCGTCGTCATACAGTGCTAGTATACAGCCAGCGTCCAACCAACGTCGCACCAGCGTCGAGCGAGCGTCAAGCCAGCGTAGCAAGACGATCACTGAATGTTGACTCCCGGAGGCAAGGGTCTTATGTAGTGTCGACGAGGTTGACCTGCCTCTAGTCTTCCACCCACGGTGGCTCAAATTGACTCGCAGCCGATGACCTGGATCTAATACAGTTGCAGATTTCCGCTTGATCTGAATGTTGTCTGGGTACCTGCATACAAACAAGTGTGTGTATCTGGTCGGCGGCCTGGGCTGGGTCCATGCAATCGCTGACTCAAGGGCCTCGTACAATTGACCGAAAGTCAACTTTCGGGCGTAGGGTCCCTACATTCAACAAGTGCGGTTTTGCCTCCTGGGCATGCTGCCTAGGGCCGACGTCGGGCCTTGCGGCCTGCGGGTGGCCCCTAGACAATCCACGAGGAATATTGAGGCGGGTGATTGCATTCGTGCCAGCCCAATTTTTGAGTTTTATCGTAGAATTACATTAATTTCCTTTTAGTTTGTGCTCATATGCAGCAATAATATCAGGAGCAGTAGGTAATAGTTCTTTCTTGCTAAACCATCTTGCTTCAAACAGAGGTTGAGACTTAAACTTTACCTTCAACTACTTCTGCAGTCTTCCTTGCCACTCGTAGAGAAGTATCAATGTTCCAGTATCTTCTCAACTTTGTAGCCTCCATTCATTGAAGGAGGGAGCATAGATGGTATGTGAGGAAAGTCATATCCCTGTACATATGGTAGAAGTTAAGACGCGTGGAATACTAGATAAGTCTTGAGGTGTGGGGGTACGTCGATTTTGTAGGAAGATCCATCTGCATCCCCAATCACCTTGAGAACTTCCCATGGTCCGTAGTAAACAGGCAGAAGTTTCTAAGACACATTTTCTTCCAAGGAATTTTTTTTAGACTTCATCCATACAAGATCTCCTTCTTGAAATTGAGATGGCCGACGATGCTTGTTGGCCTGTTCAATCATTTGCAACTAAGCTTTCTATATATTTCCTTGACTTTCTTAATGCCTTCTCCATATAGAACTGCAAATTCTTGGGTACCCGGGGGAAACCTTTGGATCTCGTCCCAGGTTAAAGCATCGATGGGACATCGTGGCTTCCAACCTTTATGTAGTGCATTCGGTGTTCTTCCCTATACTCTTAAAGATTGTAAAGGGCCCAGCATGATGCTTCCCGCTGGGCCCAAGGAAAATCGATGCCGGTTGCCGAACGGGAATCGGGGGGCGGGACTGGAGCGCGGAGTGTGACTGGAGGGCGTCGGGCGGCGAGCGGACTGAAACCGACGGGCACCGCACAGGCCGAACCAAAACTCGGCTGTGGCCGGCGGCGGGAAGTTCGTGCGACGGCGGTCCGTCGGCAGGTGCAAAGCGGGCCTACATCCGGCAGGTAGGACGGTCCATCGGCAGGTGTGAAGCGGGGCCTACGCTTGGTAGGATGTTTGTCATGTTGTTTGGCAGAGGAGGAACGGGAGGGGGAGCGGGAATAGCGAGAGGAGCGGGAGGAGGAGCGGGAGAAGCGAGAGAAGGAGCGGGAGGACGAGCATGCAACGGCGGTCCATCGGTTATTTGGCAGAGGAGGAGTGGGGGAAGGAGGGGAAGCCTTTTTTTATTTTTTTTTCTTCATAGGAGATGGCTATGGAGGGATGTTTGTCACGTTGTTTGGCAGAGGAGCGGGAGAAGGGGGGGGTAGCAGCGGGAAAAGGAGCGGGAGGAGGAGGTGCGGCAGGAGGAGCGGGCGGAGGAGGTGCGGCAGGAAGGCGCCAAGAGGAGCGGGAGGAGGGGCGGGAGAAGGAGCGCGAGGGGAAACAGGAAGGGGAGGAGGAGGTGCCGGAGGAGGGGCGGGAGAAGGAGTGGGAGGAGGAGCGGAAGGGCAAACGGGGAGGAGGTTAACGAACACGAGGAGGAGCGGGAGGAGCGGGAGAAGGAGGAGGAGGGGAAACGGGAAGGGGCAGAGGAGGCACGGGGGGACTCGGGGGAGCAGCCTGAGAAGGAGAGGGAGCACGAGTGAGAGAAGGAGTGCGAGGAGCCGCATACATGTGGAGGGGGAGCGGGAGGAGGAGCGGGAGAAGCGAGAGGAGTGGGAGGAGGAGCACGCAACGGCGGTCCATCGGTTGTTTGGCGGAGGAGGAGCGGGGGAAGGAGGGGAAGCCTTTTTTTCTTTCTTTTTTTCGTAGGAGATGGCTATGGAGGGATGTTTGTCACGTTGTTTGGCAGAGGAGCGGGAGAAGAGGGGGGAGCAGCGAGAGGAGCGGGAGGAGGAGGTGCGGAAGGAGGAGCAGGAGGAGGAGGTGCAGCAGGAGGAGCGCTAGGAGTAGTGGGAGGAGGGGCGGGAGAAGGAGCGCGAGGGAAACAGGAAGGGGCAGAGGAGGTGCGGGAGGAGGGGTGGGAGAAGGAGCGGGAGGAGGAGCGGAAGGGCAAACCGGGAGGGGGTTAACGAACGTGAGGAGGAGCGGGAGAAGGGGGAGGAGGGGAAACGGGAAGGGGCGGAGGCACGGGGGGAGCAGCCTGAGAAGGAGAGGGAGTGTGAGTGGGAGAAGGAGCGCGAGGAGCTGCATACATGCGGAGACGGATCAACGCGCGGTAGGTAGGAGGAGCGGGAGGAGGTACAAGAGGAGGAGAAGTGGCAGAAGGAGCGGGAGGAGGAGTGGGAGGATCGGGAGGAGGGACGGGGGAGAGAGGAGGAGAGCCAACCGGAGGAGGAGGAGCAGGAGGAGCAGCAGGAGGGGGAGCAGGAGAAGGGGAGGGAGGAGGAGCGAGAGAAGGAGCGGGAGCCTTTTTTCTTTTTTTTCGTAGGAGATGGCTAGTGGGGGATCTTTGTCACATTGTTTGGTGGAGGAGCAGAAGGAGGAGCGGGAGCAACAGAAGGAGGAGCTGGAGGAGCGGGAGGGGGAGGAGGAGTGGGAGGAGGAGCGGGAGAAGGAGCAGGACGGAGAAGTTGGAGAACGGGAAGGGGCGGAGGAGGCGCACGAGGAGGAGCAGGAGGAGCAGGAACCTTTTTTCTTTTTCTCTTTGTGAGAGATGGCTATGGCGGGATCTTTGTCACGTTGTTTGGCGGAGGAGGAGCGGGAAAAGGGGTGGGAGCAGCGGGAGGAGGGAAGGAGGCGCGGGAGGAGGAGCAGGAAGAGCGGCAGGAGGAGCGGCGGGAGTCGCCGGGGGAAGCGGCAGGAGGGGCTGGAGAAGGAGCATCAGGAGAAACGGGAAGGGGAGGAGAAGGCGCGGGAGAAGGAGCGAGCATTTTGTTGCTGTCTCTCGAGAGGAAGGATGATGGTGGTGACGAGACACGGGAGAGGGAGGGAAATGGTGACGATGATTAGGGCGTTGACGAGGAGCATCTCAAGGGATCTAGAT